CCATCAAAACCGTAAACTCCAAGGGAGTTTACCCTTGGACCCCAAACACACTAGCCTTTCCCTACAACACTTAGATGCAACCCTTGAGACTTATAACACTTGTATAAACTGTTTAACATATCCTAGAGTGTCTTAACTTTGTTTATTTGTTGTTTAAAGACTAATTGTGTATATACATATATCCTTATAAGTTATTAGGATCTTTGTGCATGTCTAAGTCTTCACTTGACACCAAGCACTTATTCGACACTTCCTTCCGATCCACTTACTACAGGTGAGTTCATACCCCTTAATCAATGTTTTAACCATTTTTAAATGTTTTATGGGGGGGGGGGATACAAGTAGAATCATGCTAGTTACTATATCATTCACATGTGATTAGTAAGCAGCATTCAAATGATTGGCTATTCATTAGCCGTTTTACCAAACAGTTTCCTTCAAATGTTTTTCATAAACACTTTATGTGTTTACAACTCTTTATTACACTGTACATTTTACTCTGTATATTACATTTCAAACTTATTTACAATTGTGTTTCAAACAAATGTTTCTTTATACTAAACTGTTTTATCAAACCCATGCCTTCAAATTATTTTATAGATTGACATCAAGTCGATCTTTTCTTAAGATAATAATTATGTTCAAAGGTTTTACAAAACTTACTTTATGCTTTTATATTATAAATTGCATGCCTATATATGTATATTTATATGAGTAATGTTTAAAAGACTCAGGAAGGCTATCCACCCTATTTCCTTTTCGCGCTTGAGATGTGGTCTGGTGGGATATTGGGTACCCGTCCGAAGGTCGTTTAAATATTAGTTATATATCATGTGTACATATGTATTCATAAAGGGTCTTCCAGTTCAATCAATACCCTTGGGTAGCAAGGGTATACATCTATGTCCATACATACCAGTTAGATTACTAGTAAACTACCATAGGGGTAGTTTAGGAAGATACTAGAACTATTACTAGAACACAATATCATACTATGAGTCAGTTCATTCATGAGTCAATACTTACTACTATGAGAACATATACAACAATACTAGAGAGGAACATATACGACTATACTAGAGAAGAACATATACATATATACTAGAGAAGAATATATACAACGATACTAGAATGAGTACATTACTATACTTACTAGATAGAGAGCACATACACTACAGCTAGAACATTACAGTACCTTACTATACTATTACGTAGATATGGTCACATGTACATGAGTACACTTACAGGAATCACTAGTACATTTTATATGTATAGATTCTGTTATATAATCCTTATTCTTATCTTTACCTTGTGATTCAATCACATAATCGACGAGATAGATTGGATTAAATATCCTAGTAACAAAGGATACGTTGCGGGACTGACCATTCCTAAAATCTCTGTTACCTACAGAGGTAAAAGCACATCCACGGATGTCAACGGTTGATCCCATTACATGTATACTTTTGGGGACTGACTATTCCTATACCCAGCTGTTAGAAACAGAGGTAAATGTACATCTATGGATGTCTTCAGTTAACATTGTTATTTGCCCTAGTACCAAAGGGTGATACTATTATAGTTAGGTCTTGGTAGAAGACTACATTCAGAACATTTAGATCTTGGTAGAAGACTACATTCAGAACAGTTAGGTCTTGGTAGAAGACTACATTCAGAATAGTTAGGTCTTGGTAGAACACTACATGAGAACAGTTAAGTCTTGGTAAAAGACTCCTTTTGTTACTAATAGGAATCATAGGGATTTCTAGGGTTTTCAAATGTTTACAATTGTTTTACAAACATGTTCATACTTACAATTCATATACATTTTCATACTTACAGCTCATTTACATTTTCAATACTTACAATTCGTATACATACAAATACTTACATTTCAAATACATACAAGTATTTACATACAAATTAAGACACTAAAATACTTATGATCTCACCAGCTTTAAAAGCTGATACTTGCTTTCAAAATTACTTGTATCCTCGGGTCATCATAGACAGGTACCGATGCAAAGACTAGGGAAGATGGAGCTCGTTGAAGATTCGTCTTTCATTTTGATTTATGCTTTAGTGTTTATCAAAATTTGACAGAACACACTTGTATAATAATTCTATTATTAATGCAATGGATGATGTTGTTGCTTGTTTGCTACTTTTGATTGTTGTGATACTGTACATGACGTCCTCCGCCCCAGAACGTTTCCGCCGTTCTTGGTTTTGGGGAGTGACACAAGTATTGCAAGTTGGCAACATTAATTATAGAAAATAAGAGTTATACAAAGTCGTAAGGGTTGTAAAGTTGTTTTGCTATAATTAAGGGAGAGAATATTATGCTTCATTTCAAATCTAAAGGCTTAGGTTGAGAAATGTTGATAAATTCAGTCAAAGGTACATAGTGTGTTCTTAAAAATTTCGATTATGATTACGGCATTCCTCTTCACAATTCGACTTTTGAGAACATAGCAAATAAAACATTATGCATTGTGTCCCATACGCTTCGGGTAAAGGATCGATTGCAAGTGATTTAATATTTGACCATTCTAAAATTTTCCAAATGTCTAGCGCATTTAGAGGAAAAAGGGACTAGAATTGGTTTTGACTAAAATAATTAAACAACTATCAAAGGACAATCCAAAGTTTGACGAGGATTGGTTTCTTGTGAGTAGTTGGAAGCATGGTATTGGATGGACCATATTGACATTATTATGAATAGATAAGATTCTATTAAGAATGAGTGTCATATGGAAAATATGGAAGCGTGTCCATATTAGGAATTGAATATTGAAAATCTATGTCTAGATTAGAAACTTTTATGCAAAAGGATGTTCAAAGGAATGTACTTTGAGTGAGAGACATCCTATCTAAGGAATTGTCTTGTAACAATCTCTGAATAGAAGATTTTGTAATATCACTGGCAATAGTCTTTTTGATTTTGGTGCAGTGACATTACGAAAGAATCATTGCATAGAATGTTAGAATCTAGCATATTCTATAAGTAGCAAGAATTTGATATTCTTTCACTTATGAAAAAGGATTCGGAGTTGTGAAATGAGAATGATTGGAAATGTGTTCAATGTGATCTATTTCACAAAGTAAGAACCACAGGTGAACATTGTGTGCATGCTAGGAGCATGGGATAAGTGTTGTAATTCAAGTAAGAAGTTGGTTACCCGAAACGACAAATAATGAGTAATCGATATGGTGATAAATAAAAAGGAGTTTTATTTATACTCAAAGGGTTGAGGCCATATGGGATTAGTATTATTCTTGTGTTTCACTTTGCATGTTTTGACTTCCAGAATAATTGATTTTATTAAGAATAATCAAATTATTCAAACAGGCCACAGTCGTTCATATGATTGGAAGTAGATATGAATGAAGACTGTCGTGAATTGGTGTGTGGATTGTCTAAAAGAGTATTAGACATAAGCAAATGTTTGATGCAACGTTCATGAGTGCTTATGAATATGAATTTGAGCATTAGATTAAACCCACGCTCACTTGGATCACTCCATGAATTGTATCACGAGTGATTGGTGAGACGATAACATCTTATATTCTTGAAACCGAGATGTCTGAGTTGTATCTTGCTAATCGGTTGCATATTGATAATATGAAAACGCACTAGTAACTTGGTGTTATAAAACATATTATTGTGTGTGATTCGGTGAGTAAGTGCAAGAAAACATTGTATCAAAGTTTATCCGTTACTTTTATCCAAAGAAGGATAAAAATGATATCTTTGGGCCCCTCGATGATTTAGTGATGACAAATGTAAATGCTCGGCCGGGTTAGAGCTAATTTGATTTGTTCAATTAGTCAGTCATCATAAATCGGGAATCAAGAAATAGTACAAAGAGAATGATTAGAAATCATATCTCATACGATATCTAGAATGGAGGAATATATGATCCCTTATCTAAGGACACGCGTATCTGATAGGATCAGAGTTGACAGTGGCTTTGGAAAGCTACGATTGCAGATCTGGATCTGAAGTCATACGCAGGATAGTTATTAGACTTATCCAAGTGGGAGACTGTTGGATTAGTGTCTAAGTCCACAACTATTTTGATATGTACTTGACCCGATGGTGCATGGTCCTTTTGGGTTGCCTTCACCAGAGCAACTTGATTGGAGAAATAAATAGAGAGAGAGGTTATTATGATTTATTAATATGTTATAAGAATAATATATTAAAGGAGAAATCATATTTGTTTAATTAATATTGGTCAATAATTAATTTTGTGATCAAGTGTAATTAATTAAACTAGAGGGGCTGAATTGTAATTATGTGATAGTTACAAAATAAGGTAAGGATTATCCTAAGTATAGGATGGACGAATTTAAGGTGATAATGCCTTAGAATTCGACTATGATAAGGATTCAAGGATTATCTTATGGGTTGCTTGGTAAGCAAGCAACTAGATAAGGATAATGACTGAAACCCTATCTGTACACCTATATAAACCCCCCTTGGCTCATGAATTCGTGTAAGACCTTCCCAAGGCTTCTTAGGGACGAATTCAATACCTCCTCTCTCTCCTCATATCTTCTCCATTTGCTCTTGGTGTTTGTAAGCCATTAGAGGAGTGACAATTGTGACTCTGAGCTTTCCAAAGTCAATACAAGGAGATTTGGGGATTGTTATTGCTACATAACAATCAAGGTAACATTATAAACCTATTCTTATGTTAATATGATCACTTGAATGCTAGAATTAGGGTTTATAGTCTTGGATAACTTGCATGTACAATAGAGAAACCTAGATCCAAGCATTAGAGTTTGTATGAGCACATAGGATGTCTTATGACCAAAACCCATCAGTCTATTCATCACAAATTGTTTTCCACTTTCATGAACCTCAAAATAGCGCTAAAAAAAACAATGAAAATGTTAGTATTGAACACTTGATTTTTACATATAATATGTTATACAGATTAAAAAATTGAAGAAAATATTCACTGTAATCTCTTCCCATAGATTGTCCTTCATTTCTGGTTTAACTTTTTCCAGCAAAGAGCACTTAATCCTACCTTCTCGTAGACAAGATCACCCAAATAGCTAACAAACACTGCATTATTCTTCCCTGTAAACTTACTGAATTCATCAAACATGACACGTTTTTTTACAACCAGAATTGACATATTCAGTCTTCAGTTTTGGCAACCGAGTCATGCCCCTCTTCCTATTTGACCTTGTAGGAACTGTTTTATGGATTTCTTTTTCCGAATATGATTGGCTATTGTAGTGAATGTCTTTATTTTCACCATCCTCTGTCTCCGAATCATATTCTTGGTTTCCATCATCTAGCTCATCTTCTATATTATAGTCAGGATATCCTCATGTTGTTCTTTGTCAACCTCCATGATTCTTCTGTTGACAAAACAGATTGAAAATAACTTTGATTGTTTATAAGTTTAATGATAATGTATGAATAATAATATTACAAACAATTGCTCACATAAACATTTCATCGAACAGTTGGTGTGCAACAAGCACACCAATTTGAAGAATCAAAATTGTTTGTGTTATGCATGATCCGTAAGCAATACAATCAATAACATTGAAATAATACATACACAAACAATATACTTACACTAGAAAGCTTGATGAATGATGAACTGAATTATGATCATTTTGGGATATAACCTAACGCTAAACAAAACAATGGTGGAATAAATGATGGTCTATTAAATATTAAAATGATTTAACAGGTCCTAAATTGATGGATGTTACCAAAAGATTACCAGATTTTCCTTGATCCGATGGATTGATCTTCATAGTTTTGGTGGTGCGATAGATGAAGATTTCCTGCTTTGATTTAGAGCCCAAAAACCATACGAAATAATCTTTGCCTCCCATTAGTTTTGTTAAATTTGTTTGACGAATTCAAATGTGTTGCAAATTTTGAGCTAATAGCAATCCCACACGATTTGAAGCAAACATCGTGGTTTGTAAACATGTTCTGCCTTCTCAAAGATTATTATGATTTATTTGGTAATAATATAAATATTACATCTTTGGTCCTTCTAAGTTAAGAATTTATTCTTTTGAAAAACATTTATGACTATTTGAAATAAAAAATATTTAAAGTTTAAAAAATAAATATATCATTATATAACAAAAATAATACTAAGGTCTAGTAGGAGTAATAATTTTTTATAATAATTAATATCCCATAACTCCATAAACCAATGACTATCCTATGCTATTACACACCTAACATCGTAGATGACCTAATGAGGTCCAAACCCACAACCAACACCCATACATGACCTAATGAGGTCCAAACCCACAACCAACACCCATACATGACCCAATAAAGTCCAAACCCACAACCAACACCCGTAGATGACCTAATGAGGTCCAAACCCACAATCAACACCTATACATGACATAATGAGGTCCAAACCCACAACCAACACTCGTACATGACCTAATGAGGTCCAAACCCACAACCAACACCAATACATGACCCAATGAGGTCGAAACCCACAACCAACACCCATACATGACCTAATCAGGTCCAAACCCACAACCAACACCCGTAGATGACCTAATAAGGTCCAAAACCACAACTAACACCCCTACATGACCCAATGAGGTCCAAACCCACAACCAACACTCGTGCATGAGCTAATGAGGTTCAAACCCACAACCAACACATGTAAATGACCTAATGAGGTCCAAACCCACAACCAACACCCATACGTGACCTAATGAGGTCCAAACCCACAACCAACACCCGTAGATGACCTAATGAGGTCCAAACCCACAACCAACACCAGTACATGACCTAATGAGGTCCAAACCCACAACCAACACCCGTACATGACCCAATGGGGTCCAAACCCACAACTGACACCCATACATGACCTAATGAGGTCCAAACCCACAACCAACACCCATACATGACCCAATGACGTCCAAACCCACAACCAACACCCATACATGACCTAATGAGCTCCAAACCCACAACCAACACCCGTACATGACCTAATAATAGTCAACCCCAACCCATTTGAATTAAAAAAATTCATTATATATATTTATTATAAATTTATATATAAATTTATTTTTTTGTTTGATAAAAAAAACAATGCTAGTATGGATATTACATTTAATTAATATTATAGATATTTTTTACATTAATACTATAGATATTAATGTAAATACTAGATATATTATTGTATAATACAAAAATGTGTAATCATTATCGTAGCCGACTAGCCGTCGTTCAAAATCCATCTCCTTTGTAGACTGCAATTAATTGGAGAAGTGATGGCCTCAGTCGACGTCCCTTCACCTCCGAAGGATGATCCTTATAAGCCATTCTCTTATGTCAATTTCGTCATTCTCACGTTTTTATTACGTTACAATAACTTCAATTTCTCCTTCTTCCTCTTTGAAAAAACTACGACGATCAATTGAACAGAAGATGAATGATGATCCGTGGGCACGTCCGAATTTCCAACTCTGGAGTGTAAGCGCCGAACCAACAAGAAACACACCGGTGGTTGAATACAGGAAGGAAAATGAGAAAAGATTCACCATTCGCGTTGTTCATGGTGGATTCTTTACAGACTACCCAAATAAGTCATATCAACAGACAAGGTTCACTTTATTTCTCATGTGAACATTGATTTGATAAACATGGAGATGCGTGGCCGTTTTTCTAGAAGCCTTGGGTATACAAGTTTGGGGAACTGTTATCATATGCCCTCCGAAGAACACAATAGGTTGTCAATGATTCCAATTCTGAATGATGAATGTTTGGGGCCCTTCAAGATGTTTGTTAGGGCACACAAATTCAAAGAGATTGAACATATCGATGTTGAACACAGGCCTGTGTTTGTTCCAAACAGTTTCCCACATTTTTTGACGAACTCACCAGCCAAACGTGTTGAGAAGCTTATTCACATGTTTGTAACATAACATCCAATGGCATCAGTTGATGATGGAATAGCATACATCAATCATATGCTAAACATGAGAATTCCAAGAGAAAAAATGGAGGATGCTATGGACATGGCGAAAGAAAATGTCATAGCATGGAAAGACATACCGTAGGAGAACTATGTTGTAATCTTTTTTGTGATTAATAGAGAGTACATATGATACTTTATTTTTTGTAATTAATATGAAACTATTTTATGTAATGAATTGTTATATGTTATGTCTATATGTGATGTTTTGATTATATAGAATGTCTATATTTGATGTTATATATATTATGTCCCTGTTTTGGTATATTGTGTTGCTAAAAAGGCAATGTAGTTTGCTAACACAGGGGTATAATAGTCAATAATATGTTATATGCCCATATTTGATGGTGTTTTTAATAGAAATGTCTTAGGGGAAAAATCGGAATTAGTGTGCATGTTAATTTTATTTGTTAATTATGTCTATGTTTTGCAAACTTCTAACTAAGTCAGATTTGTCCTAGTTTTAGTTAATTGTTTTTGAAGATAGAAATGTACTTTGCAACTTAGTTGCACTCTGTATTTATGATAAACCAGGGGTATAACAGTCAATTATATGTTATATGTCCAGATTTGATGCTGTTTTAAATAGGATTGTCTAAGGGGCAAAATGGGAATTAGTTATCTTATTGATTTTATATGTTAATTATGTCCATGTTTTGCATACTTATAACTTAGTCATCTTTGTCCCTGTTTTGCTTAATTGTTTTTTGAGATACCAATGTACTTTGCAACTTAGGTCCACTTTGTATTTATGATAACACAGGGGTATAACAGTCAATTATATTTTATATGTCCATATTTGATGTTGTTTTAAATACAATTGTCTTAAGGGCAAAATGGGAAATAATTATCATATTAATTTTATATGTTAATTTACATTGTTTTGACTACTTACAACTGATTCAGGTTTGTCCATGTTTTACTGAATTGTTTTCTAAAATATCAATGTACCTTGCAACTTAGTTCCACTATGTAGTTATGTTATGGCAAGGGTATATTCGTCCATTAATTGTTACTATGATAAAACAAATAAAATTATATAATTTCCTACTTAATTTGTGTGTGAGACATAAGGGTATAATGGTCATTTATTTATTGTATCAAATTAGGAAAGAATGATTTGTTTTTTGTTTTTATTTTCAATTGTGAAGGCTAATTAAAAACAATGTGCAACAACAATTACATTCATTGTATCGAATGAGGAAAAAATGCTTGATGTTAACTATGTTTGTCTTATATCAGTTTTAGTGGATTCTTTTCTCTTTTGGTTAATTTTTTTTGTTTTTTTCGTAAACCAATAAATTACGATCAACCAGATACCCCAGATGGTATGGTATATTTTGGAATGTCCTGGGTTCGAACTCAACTAGTAACAATTTTTTTTCTTTTTTTTTTAGTTCTCGATATGTCCCTGATCATCCACTTTTTTATAACTTCTCCACTTGTCCCTAATAATCCCGACTATGCGTGAATGTCCCCTTTTAGACAATACGAATTCCTATCGATTTATTCACTGATAACTACAAAGGCATTGCAACTACGTTTATACTTCAACCAGAAATTGATACGTCAACATCAAATTCATACAGGTACAAATACTACATTTAATTAATACAAAAAATTAAAAACAATTACCCTCATAATATGAATCTTTGTTATTTCGTTTGGTCATGATGTGTATCATTAATTATTTTTTTTGAGTTAACAAGTTTTTTTGTTTCAAGATATTGGATTTATTTGTAATGAGATATATTTTGTTTATGCACACCAAATGTTTGTTAAAATGGGTCAATCAACAAGAAACATATATTGCTTGTTGATGCTGTTGTAAGATGAATATGGATAAGTCTTGGATGGGAGCCTACAAAACATCAGAAACCTATGTAAAAGGTGTTACAGAGTTTATCAAATATGCAGTACACAATAACAAGATTTCTAAATTTATGGATCCTGTAGATACCAAAAAAAAGATAAGAATTCCATGTCCATGTGTTAAGTGTGTAAACCACGTACCTCATTCAATGGATCTGGTAGATGATCATCTATTCAGGAATGGAATTGATCAAACATACACAAACTGGAACAAGCATGGAAAAATAGAACCTCAAAGAAGTTATATATATATATATATATATATATATATATATATATATATATATATATATATATATATATATATATATATATATATATATATGAACATAATTTTGACATGGGTACATCAAGCGTTGTAGATTCCACGAGCATGAACACAGAATTGCCAACAGATGTTGCAGAAATAGTAGAGATGGTTGAAGTGGTAAAAGAAAATTGTATTGGGAACCCTAATAAGTTTAGAGAACTGATTGAGGATGCTGAGAAGCCCCTATACACAGGGTGTCATAATTTCACAAAATTATCTGCAATCATTCAACTACTCAACTTGAAGAGTAAGTATGGAGTATCAGATAAGTGCTTTACAGAATTATTAGTTTTGATCAAAAGTATGTTACCAGAAGGAAATGAAATGTACAGTAGTACATACGAGGCGAAAAAAGCATTCAAGGCAATGACTTCAGGGTATACCAAGATACATGCATGTGTCAACAATTGTATACTTTACAGAAATGAATACACAGACTTGTCAGCATGTCCTACATTTGGTAAATCAAGATGGAAGGTTGATGAACAAAAAAAATAAAATTTAAAACAATATTCCTGCAAAAGTTTTGGTGTACTTTCCAATTATTTCACGCTTAAATCATCTTTTTCAGTCTAAGACTACTACAAAAGATTTAACATGGCACGTAACAGAAAGAAAGGTGGATATTGGCGTTTTAAGTCACCCAGCTGATTCACCACCATGGGCTGCCATTGATGACAAATATCCTGATTTTGCTAGCAAACCAACAAATTTGGGGGTAGGAATTTCGGCTGACGGGGTCGATGTGAACAGAGGTAATAAGAATCATAGTGCTTGGCTTGTTTTAACTGTCATTTACAACCTTCCACCATGGTTGTTTATGAAGAGAAAGTTCATCATGCTTTCGTTATTGATTTTGGGAACACCAGGAAATGATATTGATGTGTTCCTAGCACCTTTTATTGAGGAATTGCAATTAGTATTTGATATTGGAGTTGAAACATACGATACATATGCACAAGAGCAGTTTAAACTACGTGCAGTTATGTTATGGACTATTAATGATTATCCTGCTCTAGGTACATTAAGTGGTTGCCCATACATCGACTTTCAAGGTTGTGTTGTGTGTGGCGAAGAGACACATTGTATTAGACTCCCTGAATCGAATAAGCAGAGTTATGCTGGTCATATAAGATTTCTACCATATGATCACCCATTCAGAAGAAAAAAGAAGGCATTCAATGGACAACAAGAGTTATCACCCTCTCCAAAACCTATGAATGGGGAGGAAATATATAACAGGTTGAAATTTATAATTAATAAATGGGGAAAGGTTAATAAGGGAAAGGAGGAACAATCTACAAGTGGAAAAGGTGGGAAGATTAATAAAAAAAGAGAAAATCACACCAAGTGGGTACTTCAGATGTGGGCCAGCAAAATAATAAATACTAGAAGAAATTCAATATATGGTATAGACGACTACGGTATTAGCCTGACAATTTGGTTCCACATTGTATAGATTTTATGCATGTGGAAAAGAACGTGGGCGAGAGTTTAACAGGAACTGTGTTGAACATTCCTAGGAAGACGATAGATGGTTATAAAGCTCGATTAGATTTTGTTTAGTACGGTTTAAAGCCAGAGTTGCATCCTCAGATACAAGGGAACAACACAACACTTCCCGCAGCAGGTTGTACATTGATAAAAGAGGAAAAAGACAAATTATGGGAGACTTTATACAAGTTAAGGATTCCTGAAGGGTATTGTTCTAATTCTGGTGAGTCTAAAGGATAGGAAGTTGATCGGACTAAAATCACATGAGTATCACATGCTCATGCAATAATTTTTTCCCATAGCAATTCGATCTGTTATGCATCCACCCACCAGAGTTGCTATTACAAGGTTTTGTTTCTTTTTCAAATAAGTATGTAGCAAAGAAATCATAATGGATGAGCTAGATAAGTTGCAAGAGGAGTTATGTGTAACCTTATGTCTTCTTGAGAAACAATTTCCACCATCATTTTTTAATGTGATGATTCATTTAACCGTTCATCTAACTAGGGAAGTAAAGTTATGCGGTCCAATATTCTTTAGATGGATGTACCCATCTGAAAGGTTTATGAAGGTTATTAAGGGGCACGTTCGAAACAAAAATAGACCAGAAGGATGCATTACAGAAGAGAATGTTGCAGAAGAGACAATTGAGTTTTTTAGTCAATTCCTTAAAAAGATGGATACTATTGGTATTCCACCTGACAATCGTAACAAATGTGGAATTCATAAAGGTGTAGATAGTAGCTGTATTACGGACAATACTCCTCTATCAGCTGCTAAATCGGTAGAAGTTTCTGCAGAACTATTCAGCAAAGCACATTTCTTTGTATTGCAAAATACATCTGAAGTACTCATGTATATCAAGTAAGGTTTTTTACATGTATGTTTTTTTGTTATAATATTAACATTAACGTATTGACAGACGACATATGGAATTTTTGGAACATCTACACCCTACTAAACGAAAGGCGCATCTAGAACAAGAGCATAGTAAAACATTTGGTCATTGGTTACGAAAGGAGGTATATTCTTTTCAAATATGTTGCGTTCTTTGTTATTTTTTTTTTCTTGATTTCTTAAATTCATAATCTAATTACAATTCAAGTAGAGAGAGAGTTAGGGGCATATAGAGAAAGTATAACAGAGACAATGAGATGGATTTCACATGGACCCAATAAGAACATTATTAAATACGATGTATATGCTACTAATGGATATACTTTTCGTACAAAAGCTCGTGAAGGTAAAGTTTACCAAAACAGTGGGGTTAGTGT